AAAAGGAAAGGAAAGGTTTTATTAAAAAAGGAAAAATCAAATAACAGTCAAACAAACTTCTTTTTTTGTGTAATAACTTTTTAATAAATAATAAGTGACAGCTAAGATCTTTCGAGTATTGTTCAAGACAATAACCTTATCAAATTCAAATTACCTGGCAATGATTTTTTCTACGTCAATCAAAATTGCTGCTCTGGTTATTAGAATCTTTTTGCCTCAAACTCAGATTCAAACAAGGTTAAAAGATCACCTTCACGTACCGGACCTTTCATGTTTTGATAATTTGTCGATTTTATTTGCCGGAACTCTATTTTCACTCGTCTGAATTGTCCTTGTGAGTCTGTGCGGCCCAGGATCTTCATAATAAGTTTCAAATCAACTGACTTATCCATAACCTTTTCCACGTGAAATACCAACCTACGAATTTTCCCCCAAAACTTGACATGTATACGTCATTTCCTCTTTCTTCCACGCATAACGACAACATTAAATAACGACGTTTCGTTACCACATTCTGTAACGTCAGAGTGTCGCTATTCTGAGTTAGAGAATCGCGTAGTTGGTATCAATATCTCGTTACACACGACGAAAGTCGGTATTGTTACCGTAACGTCATGTATCGTTATAATTATAACGAGTTACAGAATCCCGCTACTGTAGCGGGATTCTGTAACTCGTTATGCCGTCGTTATGTGCTCATAACGACAATTGTCGGTTCGTTATATAACGTTACAACACTATAACGTCAAATGCAATTCTGTACGCGAATGATAACGACTATTGTCGCTATTCATAACGAAAATCGTCGGTATGATGTCGTTATATGTCGCTATCATAACGCATGGTTCGATACCCCTCGGTACGCGTAACGATCACATAACGACAGTATGGTCTGTTCATTTTAACTGTACTGCTGATCTGGTGTAATAAGTTAGAGTGAGACAAGTACATTTTCCTCACTCTAAACTTATTGCACCAATTCAGCAGCTAAAAAGAACAAACCATAAGTTAAAGGTTTAAAAATGTTTAGAAGCGTCTGAAGTGTCGAAGTGATGAGTGTGTTCATTTAAGAAGGTCTTCACATGTATACATCGTAAACATATATTAAAAGAAAAATTAACACTTAAGGAACTCGGTGAGTAAAAATTGACGTTGTTTATAATAATTGATTTTCAGAAAGTAATGTATATTTACATCTTAATTCTTATATAATGTTTTGAACGTTGTATTAAGTTAATATGAATTTGCTCTTCTCCTTTCGATTTTTTTATTTATATACTCGTAAGAATTTTATTTCCATAAAATCGACATATTTGGCATTTAAGCTTATGTATATTAAAAGTTGATTTATTTGAAGAGGACATGGCCCTTGAGTATTTGGCGTGGGAATTAGGATTAGTGGTTGAAAGAGTGCGTCGAACGGCGTGTGGCAAGAAGGCAGCTGAGAGATGCTCAAAACCCTTTTCACATCCCACGAGATGAATTCATTGACTATTTTCGCCTTACTCCTGAACTGGTAATCGACATTGCAACTGCATTAAGGGTTGATTTACAGAATGAACGACTTACTGGCTTAGTGCCAGAAATAAAGGTAACATTGGAACAAAACTATAATAATTTATAATATTTAATTTATAATATTGAAACATAATCTTGAAACATTAAATACAGGTGTTGATAGCCATACAATTTTATGCGCAAGGCAGCTATCAAAGAAGCGTTGGCAATCAATTCCAATGGATTGTTAGCCAATCAACAACAAGCCGTTGCCTCCATGCCGTAACTGAAGCGATTAATCGGCGCTTGCTGCGTAGATGGGTAAAATTCCCGATGACCGAAGAAGATCGACAGCAAGCGCGTGCAAAATTCTCCGCTGCTATTTACCCATTCGAAGGTGCTATCGCTGCTATAGACTGTACTTTTATTCATATTATAGCCCCTCATGAAAATGAAGAGGCGTTCATTAATCATCACGGTCACCATTCTTTGAATGTGCAAGCGGTAAGTTTAATCACTTAGGAAGTACATAAATTGGTTTTCCTGCAAAACTTTTGTCTAATTGTAGCATTATTTAATTATACTTTCAGATTGTTGATCCAGATGAAGCTGCTTAACATCAATCCACGATATCCAGGTGCACGAAACGACTCATACATCTGGAGTACATCACCAATTCGTCGAGCAATGGAATTTCATTATAATCGAGGAGAACGGAAAACTTGGCTGATCGGTGAGTGAACCTTTAGTCCTTATGAACCTTCAGTCCTTATGAAAATAAGGACTTCGAAGAACTTTGCAAAAGAAAATAAAAAACTGTAATAAGATCTTGTATATTTTTATAAATACTGAATATTCTGTGTGACAGCCGTGTGCTCACATCGACGCCTTGTTCGACCGTCACACGTCGGTCGTATAATACTAAATAACGTTTGGTACACAAGAAAGAAAAACAAGATTTTTTCATTGTTTTTGAATAATTAAGATTTCATGTAATTTTAACTTTTTATTTATTTCCCGAAATATTCAGTAACAACATATTCGTAACAATATTAATATTTTTCATTAGGCGATGCTGGATACCCTTTGGAACCGTGGCTCATGACACCATTGGTCGATTTTCCTGAAAATACCCGACAATTTCATTATACGCAACAGCTCTGTAAGGCAAGAAACGTTGTTGAACGTTTTTTTGGTGTCTTCAAATCTGTATGGAGATGTCTTTCCTATCAGCGTGTACTGATGTATAGGCCAGCATTTGCTGCAAAAATAGTTAATGCATGTGCAGTACTGCATAATATAAGAATTCAACACCGTTTGCCTGTTGAAGAATTGGAAGCACCAATAACTGCTGATAATGGTGAATATGAAAATGCTGGGCTCATTGATAACGAAGATCTACATCAAAGAGGACCGCGCGCTTTAGCTCAAAGAATACAACGCCAAATTATGAGAAAAAGATTTCCTAATTATCGAGATGCACAAGATGAAGAGCGTGCTGAAAATGATTAAATGTTTTTTTTACTTATCCCCTATTGTTTGACGCTTTAAATGAGAATATTGATTCCGAATGGCTTTCGAAGCCATAAACATTTTGTGACTCAGAATAAATGTTTCATCGTCTGAATTCAATTACAAATATTTATATAAATATGTGTGCGTAAAGGATAACAATTTTAACGAAAAAAAGAACATGTATATTAAAGTTAAAAAAAATGAATTATATTAAAATTTTACATTATCTTATATAATGTTTTTTATAAAATAGTTTATATAATATTAAATATATTAAAGCTTTATTTTCATATTAAAATTTTATATTATTGAAATAAACATCTTTCTGCAAACAGTATAAAAACTTTATTGTCCTTAAACTAAAACCCTTATTGTCTATAAACTATAAATGTAATAAAGAAAAAATAATAGTAAATTAAAAGAAAAGAATAAAATACTGATCAAAATACGGACTAGTTATGTGAAAGATTTTTTTTTTTTAATACTTCAACACAATCTTTGATTATTATTAATAATTCGGAATATGTTGTCTCTCTACTTCTTTCTGCTTCTATAAAGGCACGTAGACATTCATTTCGCTCTTTTTCATTATCCGCAATTTGTTGCATTGCCTTTGCAAACATCTGTAAAAATAAACATAAAAAAAAGTACGTTTAAAGCATTGAGTTAATAACACGTTTCTTCCAAAGAAATTATATTCTGAGAATGACAGATAGATCTTACCTCCATACATGAAATTTGGCGTTCGGCTAGGATCGCAAAATCTTCTCTGGCATTGTGCAGTTGTATACCCAACCGTTCACTGTCTTACAAAGAAAGAAAATATTACGTATATAAACTGAGCTGTTATAAAAAAATAGGTATATATCAATAGCAATACTTACTCCTTGTAATTTGTGGTCTTTTTCGCTTCTTGCTCGAACTTTGCGTTACAGTTGTGAGCCGTTGTGGATCATCAATTTGAATAGCGGATGGTGGTTCTGTTATTTCACGATGACATTCTGCAGTCTCCACATTTTGAATTTGTGAGTGTGTTTGAATATTATTGAAAGATGACCCTTCTTCAATAACATTTCCCATATCATGTAGCACTTCATAATCTGAAATAAAAAAGTGTAAGGAGTGCTGCATTTATACATTTTCAGAGCAATATTGATTAACACATTCATATAATTTATCGAGACATTTACAATGTATTCAGAAAAAATCCTACCTGTATAATTACCTGTATAATTACCTACCATTACCTACCTGTATAATTACCTACCATTACCTGTATAATTAACGTCATGTTCTATAATCTCGTTATTTCTTAATGTTAATGACTCTGGAATATCATTTAAAATTCTTTCGTCCCCTGCAGTAAGCAAATGCATTGCTTCTCCCTGAAATAAACATTTAAAAAGCAAATACTGTTTAATAAACATGTACTCAATATTATTTTTATGTGCATCACAAACAAAAAAGATTTCAAATTTTTAAGTATGATGAAATAAGAAGTTTCTAAATATATTTTAATAAAAATGTTCTATATTAGATATATCAGGTGTAGTAAAAAGAAATCCATTATTTTTCCAATAGATGGCTTTAGTTATCTGTATTTCGCGTTATATAAGTCCGATCGGGTTCTACTAGATGGCGTTAGAAAGATGAGATTTCGTACTAAAAAGACTTTTCTGACAGTTTTGTGACTAGTTGACACAGTTTTGTTTGAGCGCGCGTCGAAGATGGACACTAGCAAAGAGAAAATACGCTATATTTTACAGTTTTTCTTCGATAAAGGCGAAAACGCAAGCCAGGCGGCTGAAAATGTGAATAGTGTTTATGGTCCTGATACTGTAACAACCAATCAGGCGCAATTTTGGTTTCGTCGATTCCGTTCCGGTAATTTCGATGTCAAAGATGCACCACGCACTGGAAGGTCAATTGTCGAAAATATCGATAAAATCATGGACATTGTCGAGTCCGACCGTTATGTAAGCACTGTTTCGATTGCCCAAGAGCTAAAGATTGCACAAAAAACCGTTTGGAACCATTTGAATAAGGCTGGATACAAAAAGAAGCTCGATGTATGGGTACCACACGAGTTAACGAAAATAAACCTCATGGACCGAATTTCCATCTGCGAATCGCTGCTGAATCGCAACAAAATCGACCCATTTCTGAAGCGGTTGGTCACTGGTGATGAAAAGTGGATCACTTACGACAACGTCAAGCGAAAACGGTCGTGGTCGAATCGCGGTGAGCCGGCGGAAACGGTGGCCAAGCCAGGATTGACGGCCAGGAAGGTTTTGCTGTATATTTGGTGGGATTGGCAGGGAATTATCTACTATGAGCTGCTCTCCTACGACAAAACTCTTAACTCGGAACTGTACTGTCAACAATTGGACCGTCTGAAGGAAGCAATCGCCCAGAAGCGGCCAGCTTTGGCCAATAGGAGAGGAATTGTGTTCCATCAGGACAACGCCAGGCCACACACATCGATAGTGACTCACCAGAAGCTCCGGGAGCTTGGTTGGGAGGTTCTTATGCATCTACCTTATAGTCCGGACCTGGCACCAAGTGATTACCATCTGTTTCTGTCCATGGCGAACAATTTTGCTGGTGAAAAATTCGATTCAAGAGAGGCTTGCGAAAATCGACTGTCTCAATTTTTTGCCAATAGGGACGAGGGCTTCTATGAGAGAGGCATAATGAAATTACCTTCCAAATGGCAACAAGTTATCGAACAAAACGGCGCATATTTGACCTAAATCGGATCATTCTAACTATGGTAATTAAAGCCTTCAATTTCATGCAAAAATAATGGATTTCTTTTTACTACACCTAATATTTTATATTAGAAAAATGATTACAGTTATATTTAAAACTTTTTCACTACCTGTTCCTCTGGAAATGAATCAGGACATTGTACACCTTCCACATAATTTAGTCCTATAAGGCCTAAAATCTTTTTTTCTCGATCCGTCAGTGTGATAGGAGGACCACCAATGTTCCCTGTCGTAACTTTATTAGCACGGATTTTAGCAACTTTTTGGGAAACTGCTGTTTTATTATCTCGCCATGTCTAAAGCATGTATTACGAAAATATATCCAACGTAGTTACATCCCAGCAAACACAATATTAGATGTAACGTATAATACATGTTGGTTGTAATTTCCTGCTCAACAATATAACTGTTACATAACATATATGTCATATAACAATTATATTGTTGATTAGGAAATTACAACTAACATGTACGTTACATCTAACATTGTGTTTGCTGGCATGTTACACATAATATTTTAAATATTATTGACTTACCGATTTCCATGACTTTATATCTTTTGACTTCCCATTTCTTCCCATAGTATTTAAGTGAGCGACTAATTGCTCCCATGACCCTCTTAAATCTGCGTTCCCGTGTAGAGTTTGGAATTTGCATGTTGCTACATGTGGATGCTGTACAAAATAGTCCACCATATAATCTATTTGTGCTGACGTTGCTTTCGCCTGCCTCTTCTTAATCCCTGTTCCATTTTGTCTGAAAAAAAAATTATTAGCATACGTGTAATAGATTATACCTGAAATTGATTTATTTTATTAAAATTTTGCATACTTACTGCGATATAGAAGTCATTGCGCTTAAGTTATTACAATAAGATATATCACTTATATATAAACTTATATATAAACTTATATTTGTCTCACTGTAACTTATAGTATCGATTCAGTAGTGCAGCGAAAACGAACAGACTTATTAAAATGCTGCTGTCATGAAATAATATTTTTAAATTAATTTATAATTAATTTATGTAAAATTATATTTATAAAAAAATAAATACACAATTTAATAAGGAGATTTGTGGTAGTTACAACAAAGTACAAGAGACTTAGATAATCTAACAATTGGTTTCATCCAAGATTCTTGTCTTTTGTACAATTAACAATAAAATATTTTCATAACTCTCTTGCACTTTTATACTTTGCTGTAGTTATCTCTAACCTTCTTGCTACTTGTTTTATTAAAAAAGGAAAGGAAGGTTTTATTAAAAAAGGAAAAATCAAATAACAGTCAAACAAAACTTCTTTTGTTAATAACTTTTTAATAAATAATAAGTGACAGCTAAGATCTTTCGAGTATTGTTCAAGACAATAACCTTATCAAATTCAAATTACCTGGCAATGATTTTTTCTACGTCAATCAAAATTGCTGCTCTGGTTATTAGAATCTTTTTGCCTCAAACTCAGATTCAAACAAGGTTAAAAGATCACCTTCACGTACCGGACCTTTCATGTTTTGATAATTTGTCGATTTTATTTGCCGGAACTCTATTTTCACTCGTCTGAATTGTCCTTGTGAGTCTGTGCGGCCCAGGATCTTCATAATAAGTTTCAAATCAACTGACTTATCCATAACCTTTTCCACGTGAAATACCAACCTACGAATTTTCCCCCAAAAACTTGACATGTATACGTCATTTCCTCTTTTCTTCCACGCATAACGACAACATTAAATAACGACGTTTCGTTACCACATTCTGTAACGTCAGAGTGTCGCTATTCTGAGTTAGAGAATCGCGTAGTTGGTATCAATATCTCGTTACACACGACGAAAGTCGGTATTGTTACCGTAACGTCATGTATCGTTATAATTATAACGAGTTACAGAATCCCGCTACTGATCGGATAGCGCGGGCCCTTTCATGGACCCTGCGATGCGCTTTATTGCCGTCATTGGCATAGAGCTCCTACGTCATCTCACGCATGCGCTGTAGCGTCGCAATATATTGCACCTGACAGCACTGCACCTCGGTAGTCCGTTACCTTCGCTGTAGCGCAGCAGCGAGGTAATGACTACAACTGACGGCTGAGTTTGATCCTGCTGTATGGTTTTTTAATTCTGTAAGCATAAAATGAAATAGAAACATTAATAAATAATAAACTGCGTTTCTTAAATGTATTAGTGTTTGTTAAATATATTATTAATGATTAAATTGCAAAAAGCCGTAATCTTATCTATAAATATATAGTGTATAAGAAATTCTTATATTATTGCATGGAAATAGGAGTAAAAATATATTATATTTTCGCTGGAGGATTTTCGATAATAATCATTATTCTCGTAAGTAGAATTCGCATATACGAAAGCATTAGTGAATTCACCTTTAAAATCTTCATTTTCAAAAGATCTTTCTTCTAGCTATTCTACATCTATTTCTACAACTATTTTACTTATTGAAGGATTCTCTAACATTGTTATGATATATATAATTTAATATAATCACCGAATTGCTCTGTATCACTAGTAACGCACACTGCTGCTTGCTCTACTGACGACTGTTCCGACACTCGAATCATTTCGTCATTCTTAACGATCGTTTAGAATGACACAAAGGAAGTTTTTGGAGGGGATTGTCAGAAGAGATAAGACACAAGACACTTCCACAACACGACTTCAATACAACATAGAGAGTTGTAACAGAAATAATATTTTATATATACGATATAAGATTACGAAAAATTATCTCATACTAGTTTAACTCTTTGCGATCGGCCGATTCGAAGAGATCGATAAACATGGATATCTGTAAGTTGATCTACACATTTGAATCTATCATCGGGAGTTTTCTTTCATTATCGCTAGCCTCATTTGCCGTGCCGCACGCCAGACGATCATGATGCTAGCTGCGGCATCGACTTCTACGACGACTTGCGAATGCGCATGTGGCGCATCGACCGCAAAGGTTAATAGCATTCCTATATATTTCATAACATATCTTTATTCCTATTCCATTGCAATTAGTATATAAAATTTTCTCATACACTATATATTTATAGATAAGATTTACGGTCTTTTTGCAATTTAAATCATTAATAATATATTTAATAAACACTAATATATTTAAGAATCGCAGTTTTATTATTTATGAATGTTTTCTGTTTCATTTTTATGCTTACAGAATAAAAAACCATACAGCAAGGATCGAAACCAAAATTGCGCCTGATTGGTTGTTACAGTATCAGGACCATAAACACTATTCACATTTTCAGCCGCCTGGCTTGCGTTTTCGCCTTTATCGAAGAAAAACTGTAAAATATAGCGTATTTTCTCTTTGCTAGTGTCCATCTTTGACGTGCGCTCAAACAAAATTGAGTCAACTAATCACAAAACTGTCAGAAAAGTTTTTTTAGTACGAAATCTCATCTTTCTAACGCCATCTAGTGGAACCCGATTGGACTTATACAACGCAAGATACAGATAACTAAATCCATCTATTGGAAAAATAATAGATTTCTTTTTACTACACCTGATATAAAGAAAAACGGCTCAATGTCCGAGAATTGCTATAGTTCACCCATTATGGGTCGCCATCATTTTCAAGCTAAACCGTGTGAAGTGGATGAGAGGACCTAATTTTCCGTTCCTCTTTTTACCGACCTTGGTCTTTAAGCTCTTATATTATATTATGCATATGCATCTATGTTATTTTATGTGTGAGGGCCCTTACGGTAAGTCCTACTATAATGACATTAGTTAGTAAAACGGAAATCCCATACAGCACAAAAAGTTGCAGCAATATTGTTGCAACGTTGCAACAATGTTGCTGCAACTTTTGTGCTATATGGGATGGACTGCTTAAGTAAATAGAAATAGATATTTTTAAAATAAACTGGAGGATAATTGTGCAACAATAATATGTACAATATAATGTTCTACAATAATTATTTATACCAATAGAAAAAGATTAAGTATGTTAAAACAAAATAATTATTAATAAAGTACTACATAATTATATGAATAATAGTGAGATATACAGGGTGTCCCGGGAGGAAAGGTCAATATTTCGTGGGGGTATAGAATGAGGTAATAGAAGGCAAAAATGTTATATAAACATGGTGTTGTTTATTACTGGTTTCCGAGATACAGCTATGTTAAATTACACGTCAGAATTTAAAGTTGGCGCGTCATTGGGATTTTATTCTTCACCGTAACGGAGTGCTGTAGGCTGTATATCAGTTGGAAAAGTTAGCGAAACACACCTGTCGATCTGTCTTGCTGTTTGTGACACACTGCAAACATACCGCACGTGTATTCTAATGTAGAGTATGCAGATATGGTTTATGTTTATGGGTATTGCGATGGCAGTGCTCTCGCAGCCGTTGAAAAATATCATCGCCGTTTTCCGATGCGTCGCATTCCAGACCGAAGAGTATTCTCAAACGTGTTTAACAGCTTACGTGAAAATGGTACACTTCCCAGTGCTTACATCACATCTGAACGTAGAGTTGAGATAAATGTTGAGGAAGAAGAAAATGTATTTCAAATGGTACAAAGGAGCCCTACGACTAATACAAGAAGGGTCTCTGCACGTACTGGTGTTCCTCGGACACGTGTCTGGTGGATACTGCATGACCAACATCTGTTTCCATTTCATCCGAAACGAGTACAAAATCTCCATGAAGGAGATGCCACACGTCTACAGTTTTGCTAGTGGCTACAGAATCATCGTGAATTGATTCCCGTTATACTTTTCACTGACGAGGCAATATTTACGCATAATGGCATAAATAATACGTGTAACACCTATCGTTGGTCGCAAGATAACCCTAACGCCATTGTTGTACAAAATTTCCAAGTTCATCTCTCCGTCAACGTATGGTATGATTGATGGAATGCTGATTGGTCCCGTTATTTTACAAAATCGTATGACAGGGTAGAGTTACCTCGACTTTTTACAAAATATATTTCCACAACAACTAGAAGATATTTCCCTGGCTACACGAAGAACAATGTATTTTCAGCACGACGGAGCACCTCCTCATAACACACATCTTGTGAGAGAACACTTAAATGCAGTGTTTCCACATCGCTGGATCGGTTGCGGTGAAACAGTGCAGTGGCCACCAAGATCATCCGACCTAACTCCCCTGGATTTCTGCTTGTGGGGTTGGTTAAAGTGCAAGATGTATAAAACTAAAGTGAATACACGGGATGAACTTATTGCACGTGTAATAACTGTTGTTGACCAAATTAGGGGTCGTGAAAATGCCTTCCGGCGCGCAACCCGCCACGTTCTCACAAGATGTAACAAATCGAAGTACGGGGCGAAATATTCGAAAATTTGTTATAATAGATGTATTACAATGTAATTGCAGTAAACTTCAACTCATATTAGACAATTCCGACGTGTAATTTAACATAGCTGTATCTCGGAAACCAGTAATAAACGACACCATGTTTATATAACATTTTTGCTTTATATTATTCTCATTCTATACCCCTATGAAATATTGACCTTTCCTCCCGGGACACCTTGTATACGAAGGTCATTCGATAAATAAGGTAAATTTCCGCGAAATGGCGACACAATGAACTTTGTAGTATATAGCCAAGAAGTAACACTCTTCAAACTGCCTCATATCAAGTTTCAGCCAAAAGCGACGCTTAATTTACGTATGGCATACGTTTAAAGTAAGCGTGGCAGCAGCTCACCATGACAATGCTCCAACTCACACCTCCATATGTCGCAATGGCAAAATTGCACGAATTAAGGTTCGAATCGCTGCTCCATCCACTCTATTCTCCTGATTTGGCCCCTGGACTTCTTCCTATTTCCAAACCTCAAGATCTGGCTCGGGGAAAAGAAATTTTCGTCCAATGAGGAGGTCATTGCCCCTGTGGATACATATTTTGAAGGCTTCAAGATTTCCTATTTTCCTGAAGGGATAAAAGAATTGGAACATCACTGGATTAAGCATGTAGAGCAGAGCTGAAAACGATGTGCACATTTCGGGCGAAATTCAAAAGGTAACACCCACCGTCCCCCTGCCATCGCTCCGCACTCAATGGCCGAGGCGACGATCGCGGTATGTTCAGATCCATCGCTATATAAGAAATCAGATGGAGCGCACCCTTTCGCGTCATATTATCATTAAAATTTTTCCTCATTTAATAATCACTTTAAAATATATATGTTTATGTGTTTTATATATATATATATATATATAAATAATGCTGTCCTACTTTGCGGGTAGAATCATGCGGATTTTCGATGAAGGATTGTAAAACATCTAATGATCTTTCTGGATTTGTTGATGATGCAGGTTTACCTGATATTGCACGATTTTCGCATTATCAGTTTCCTCAAAATGCTTTATTGTTCTTTCAACAGTAGATTTTGAAATGGCAATATCTTGATTACGAAATGTTTCATTAAAAAGCTTTACATCATATTACAGGTTACGTGAAAAGTTCGCGGAGCGAAATTGAAATAAAGAATACCAAATTCTAAAAATGATTTTATTTTTCAATATATTCTCCAATAACTTCAATACACTTGGCCCAATGGCTCTCCAATAA